CTAGAAATCTGCACCAACCCAATTCCACAAATTGATCAAAAACACCAATAAAACAATAAGAAGGCACCAGAAAAATCAGTCCTTCAAAATTTCTAACTCAAAATAAATCACCTGTTGGCTGCTGTTTCTGGCAACCCTGCAAGAAAAGACAAATGGGTTTCTCATCAAACAATGATTGGACAATTGGGTTCAATAAAGTTGAGAAATTTAATAAAATTGAAGTGAATATTGCGACTTCTTTGAAGTTGAAAAAGGATAAAGTACCTGGCTTTGGAGGCAAGATTTGCTGCAAACCGATACATGATTAATTGCGAAGACTAATTGGGACTTGGGAGAGCGAAGAACGTTTGTGTGTGAGGGAGAAAGTTAGCGAGTGTATGTACCTGTAATGGAGTAGGGGAAGGAGAAGAATACAGGAGAAGTGGTGGTAATTTTAAAGAAGGGAAGAGAAGGGTCTAGAAGGAGGAACTTCTAGGGTTTTAGGGTTTAATGAAGAATTATATAAACCTTCTACCAAAGGGTTTAAGGGTCAAAATAAGTCTTTACATTGCAGGCCAAATAAGTAAGACAAAGGAAAGAAATTAGTAGTGGTAATTTTTAATTTTTAACCTTTTTTTTTTGCTCTTTTCAACTCTAGCCCTTGTCACAGATATTTATAATTTACTCTTTTTTTTGTTTAACTCTATTTCCTTATTTTTTATTTTATTAGTTTGCAGCTTTGAACCCCTCAAATTTTGGCTACTCCTCAATTCACAAGGATTTTTCTTTTTTTTTTTTTGAAATTTTAATTTAAAAAATGACTCTTAACTGTAAAATGAATATTTGAATGAATTTTCAAGTGCCCGATTTTACATAAAATAGTTGAAGTTTCAGAATACTATGCTATGAAAAAGATGAATGGTAAATTTTGTGTTCTGATAACTAAGTGCAAATTGTAATGGCGTATTGGTACCTGGGCTGGAAATTGATTGAATATCTAAAAAGGATGAGTGGTTGAATTTTCTTGATCACCTAAGGAGGGCATAATTATAAATAAAAAAAAGGAGGTAAGAAAGGAGGGCATAATTAAAAGTTTAATTTGGAAAGATGAGTGTGATTTTTTCCAAAATTGGCAAGAAAGGTGAAATGCATTATATCAAATTACCTCATAACGTTAATTAGAGAATAAGGTTAGAAAATGAAATTCAAGAAGGTTTATAAGCCTTTCAGAAAAAAAAAAAAAAAAAAAGTGCATAAGCACTATATTTCATTTCATATAGTGAAACGAGGAATAATATAAATTATTTGTTGTAGTAAAAAGGTACACCATTTATAATTTGATAAGATTTCTTAGAAGTAAAGGCCATAGTTGAAGTTTCTAAATTACACTGATAAAAACTTTGCACAATCATGTCTTCACTAATCTTGATACCTTACCATTTTCTCCTTGGCAAAGAAAGATTTGTAATCTTGAAAAGAGATAATTAACAACCAAGTTGGACCAAAACAAATACAAATGCTTCTGCATCTTTTACTTAAGAAAATTGACTAAACCATAGAGGAAGTTAAATAAATCTGCCAAAGGTTCTTTAGGAGGTTTTTTATGATAAGCTCCCTTTTTTTAACCTTTTTATGTAGTCATTGTAGTGGAAATTTGTTGCTTTGGTGCAGGTTAAATCTTAAAAATCAGCAAAAGGAGTGCATATCAATTTCACACGAAGGGTTCAATTCTCATTGCGCTATGTAACTGATAAACATGTGTTTCATATATAGAACCCAAACTCTATTTTGAAGTATAGAAGATGCCATATAGTAGATTGGTTTTTCATTTTCTTTACAAATGATAAGACATTTGAAGGGTGAATTTCTCGGGTTTCTTACTAGAAAACTTTTTTGTTCTTGATATTGCTATTTCCTACCTTTTATTGTACTCCAGTTCTCATTGGTGAAACTAGTTAGATGCATGCGGTTAACCTGCACGATATACTTTCAAAAATACAAGAAATGGCTTAAATCAACTTTAAAAAAGTAGTTGTCTAGATAACTTTTGGCACAATGCTTAGATGTTAAAAAATTCTTTGTTTAAAGAAAAGCATTTAGCATGATGTTAAGTATGAAATAAACGTCAGCTATATGAACACCATAACTGTCTATTGCATTATTTAACTTTGCATAGTAACCATGTTAATTCAAATCTAAAACACATGCAACAATTAATTACCTGTAAAATTCATATATCCTCCTTTGAAGCCTTGCATGGCATTCTCTTTCTTTTGGTGGATATGACCGGTTGTTAGTAGTAAATAAACACGGCTTTAACACAGATTGAGAACTACAACAAGAACTGTTGGAGAGTTATACCAAACTTAGTGAATTTACTCATTTATGGATCTCTATTGTGATTGGTTTATTAATGATTTCCAATTAGTCCAATTAGCTATTAATAAGTTTATTTATCTCTATAATCCATCGAACCAGTGAAAATATTTCTATTAATTCTACAGATATAGTCCGCTTTATAAAAGAGTGAAATAATGAAGCAAGAAAATCAAACTTATATTTAGCATTTGGAAATGTGCATTAACCACCAAAAAAAATAAAAAAAAAATTAACCACCAATTCTCTACCATCCCTTTATCTAGGAGCAAAATGTTTTTGATGGCAACCTTTGCTCTTTGCAAACTCATTCTGCATCAGCCCGAAGAGTCCGTGGAATCCATTGTGGACTGCCTATGTTATTGGGTATAAGAAACATCTAATATGCCATTAGCACCGTAGAATTGAACTTTTGAAACTTAGCCATGAAAGATTAACTACCTACATTACTAGATATAAGTGTCTGTTCTCAATTGTCCCAAGAAGCAGCAAATGATGTGCTGTTGAATTATGGTTTTAAAAGCAATTGAGAACGTGTGCAACTAAACTTAATAGGTTAGCTAGAAAATCATCATCCCATTTTAGCTAGGAAAGAACATCATTTTTTTTTTGCGTCTCACAAGATGAATCATACCATATTCAGAAGCCTTTGCTTCTTACTTTTCTTGGCAACTTTCAGTTTCCAGGCAGGCAAAGTGGTTGGTTTCTTCGGACGATATTATCTCTACGTGCACAATGGCCTGCCTGACGATTCTACCCCGTTAACAGTTCATTGTGCCTCAGGAAATGATGATATTGGATATCATAATCTTACTGTTAATCAGGATTTGACATGGAGTTTTCACATGAATTTCTTCAGGAATACTTTATACTTCTGCCATTTTTGGCGGGGCGCAAAATCTGCAATGTTTGATGTGTACAATGACACCTGGGCTTACTATTGTGGTCATTATCATCAATCTGACAAGTATTGCTATTGGCTAGTAAAAGAAGATGGTTTCTATTTTACGGGACAACAACATCACAACGTCCCCGGTCCTTTTGACAACCATCCAGCTATAGGCTGGAGCTGAATATATAATTTTTTTTGGTCTGGGAGCTAATAGCAGTACTCCTGCAATTATTAATGAGATTCGCTTCACTTTCTGATCATGTTGTGGGTACGATCATAAGAGTAAATGGGACTGCTACCGTATCATTTCCAGTAGAGAACAAGGCACTACTGGCCTCCTCAAATTGTGAGCTTGCTGAGGTAGTTTTTATGCAATGCGAAGTAGAGAGAAGGGTCACTATAAGGCTAGAAGATGTATTTTCTGTTCAGTTTGTAGTTATGGCGAATTGGCAATTGGTAAAGGTGTTTTTCTGTTTAGTTACATGTAAGTTTCTTTCCACTATATAGAGTTATATTGTCTAACAGAAACCTTTGGCTTCAAATGACTTGGTAGCTACCAGACACCATTCTTGATCATGGAGATGTTCAAGTACATTAATGTTAAAAGTAGTCTCTTCCTGATGGATTTTTTGTGATTGCATTTCCTGGGATATGCCCCTTGTAGTTTTGTATCTCATTTGGCTATCAATAAACTTCTTACCTATCCAAAAGGGAAAGAAGATGAAAAATAAAAAAAAAAGGCAATGCTTGTCACTGCAATTTTACGTAGTTCAAACTGCTGTTCTTTTGTCCTTGAACACAACCAATCAACATTTTTGTGTTGCCATTCTTTTTTTTTTTTTATCCCTTAGGCATTTAATGTCAAAAGATCAATCCAGATATGCCAGCCTGAACCTAAAGCATATGCTTTTTAAGGATACAGTTACAAGCTCCTAAAGAGTGCAAGAAATAAAAAAGAATAGACAAACACATAATAAGAATAGAAGTAAAAGCTCCTAAAGCTTTATGCCACATTTGAAACAAGACAAACACGTGCATAGATTAATCTACAAAGAACACACTCAAGAACAAAAACAAACTAACAGAAAAAACAAGGAAAAAGAGCAAACTATAATTAGAATTTCAAGATTCTACCACAACCTGTAAAACATATAGAATTGCGACTAGATAACAGCATAATAGGGGCCTGTGCCGTATTCCTTGTCGGGATCAGGCATACTGGAATAACGACACAGGCTGTTACTCATTTCCCAGCTCCAGTCCTGCTTCCTTGCAATATACATCCGTGGCCAACGACTTACCCTCACATAATGTTCTCTCACGTTCCCGTCAACCTGTAATCCAGTGACTATAGAATAACATGCCTCGTGACCGCCCCATACCTCATCACCTAGGTCTGTAGTTTGGCTTCCATCTTGATGGAAATAAAGGTGCATGGACTTTCTTGTCCCTTTCCAATAAGGATCAAGGTCCCGCCAGTATTGTGGAGCGGCATGAATACAGAAACCATATAGTTTTAATTGATCAGTGGATTAATATTATGAGGTGGTAGGTATATTGCACATTATAACTTTTAGAAATAAGAGAGAATCACGGCATCATATGTAACAGCAAGCAATGGGGACAACGGGAAAAGGGAGAAAGCAAATTTTTTTTCCACCTTCTTGTGTTTGAAAAATCAACACTTTACTCCCATGAAAGTTTTAGCCTAAAAGAGAAGTTTAAACATATAAAAAAATCATCCTAGTGCCAAGATCCAAAAGTACAAGTGCAAGTGAAGTCTACAAGAAATCCAGGACATCCCAGAACATACATACCTCAGTGAAACGGAACTCCCAGATATGATCGCACAAGTTATCCCTCATTATCCGGGTCTAACATTAGCAACTATGCATTAGCAGATGCATCAGGCACAGAAGAGATGATTATTCTCAGCACAGGTATCTATCAGACAAATTTATTTGTTGAAGATATATTTGCCATGCACAAGAGAGAGAGAAATAGTAAAAGCAAACAGCCACAAGAGAAAGAAAGAAGAAGAAAAGGAGATAATAGTCATATTTTTGGTTACTTACACGTTTGCCATCCAAAGTGGACAATGAGTAAGCAGCTAACTTTGACAATCCCCGGAATTTTGATATGCGAGATATGTGAGCTTTACCATGCCATAACTCCTCACACTACATCAGAAAAGAAACTTCAGCTTATTTCATTGAAAACCAAACCAACACCTATCTGTTTGATTCATTTCTTGTTATCAATTCATAGAACCAATATTTTTTCTGCTGCAAATATAATACAAAAGCATAGATTTAGTTAGAAACATAGCAAACTACAACTAGTTGCAGATGAAACAATGAGCATTTTCAAGAAAAGTCGAATGTGATGAATAATGTGCACAACAATTTGGGTCACTTGTATTCATTCTGTAAATGAATTTCCTCAGATAGTTTCAGACAGGCTTCTTGATTACAAAAAGGAAACTATACAATGGAAGAGAAATCTTTACCAAATTTCGACAGAACTAATTGTGCCGAATTTGCAACACATTCACTAAAAGCGGGGTTGTTTGGCTAATCTAGACATCATTAACCATTCCATCTAATTCCCCACTTTCCCATTTACCTGTTATAAGCCTAACAGAAAATGAGCATAACGGTGAAAATTCCCTAGAGATTTGCAGACTTCAAACAAGTAGAAGATACTAGTGTACCAAATCATTGTGTAGGCCAGTGCATGCTCCCTCCCCCCCCCCCCCGGGTTTTTGGGATTCACTATCAGGATTTTGAACTCTTACTATTGCAAGCAGACTGTCCATATGGCATCCTGCATCTAGGAGGAAACAAGCATTAAGCCCATCGCTTGTCTACCTCAACTTTTTAATTTCTCTATCCAATCCTTCTTTTTATCCAACTAGAACTTAAACAAGCAGATCAAATGGAAATTAATAGAGTATTAGATAGTCCTCAACGGTTTTTAATAGAATGTTTAGAAGCAAAACTTCTTGAACTAAAATTAGATGCACTGCAGTGACATGCAGCCTCTCATAGGATGAATCAGGCTATATATCATCACAAATCACTGCCTGCAGCGCAAAACTAACAACCTAATATAGCTCTTATCGCATTCTTAATCATATGTACTAGCTGTTAACTACACTATTGCTTCACCTACTCCCTTGGGCTTAGTTGTATAGCTCTACTAAAGAACCCCGACCACGAATAAGGAGAATTACATACCCTCCAAATTATGTCACAACCTCCATCTCCACCCCTCTAAAGACACCAAAAAAGATTAATAACATCTTTCAATTCTTCCAAATTTATGTACGATTTTTACAATAGCTAGACTACTACATTTTAGAAACAATTAAAAACACCCATTTAAGGCTTTAACAATCAAAATTCCAATGAAAGTTCATTCCAAGAATACCAGCATCATCCTTAAGAATAATACAAAACAAACGCAAAATATTCAAAAAAATTAAAATTAAAATCAAGCTTTAAGTGCATGATCCCGGCACTAAGCAAAAGCATCGTTGCAAAAAGAATAATCTTTCATATTAGAACCAACCAACAGAAAAATCTTGTAAAATTTCAATAAATATCAAAACTTTATCAAAGTTATTGCATGACTCTTCACCAGAAAAAGATAACAAAAAGCTAAAAACAGAGAAAAATGAAACCTTGGGAGCCCAGAGTCTATCACTGCAAGCAACTCCATGCCATCTACAAGAGGCAAGGAGAGATAGTACCACGCTGCGTGCGTCAAGGTAGCCGAATATCATAAGCATGATATCATAGCCAAGTACAACCAAAGGGTCCTGCTTCTTCACTGATTCAATTGGCAAATCATGACCCTTTTCAACTGTGAATTTATCTTCTTCTTCTTTATCCAATTTCTTCCTTCTTTTTCTCTTCTTCACTCTGCTTTCTACAATATCAATGTATCCACCATCACATAGATTGTCCCCAATACAAGGAAATCTTGATGACCAATCTCCATTTTCTTCAATTTTAGTCTTTTTCTGGTGATTTTTTATCAATATTTGGCCATCTTCCTCAGCCATTTTTGTGAAGGCCATTCAAGAGGAACAAAGGATGAAATCAAACGGTGGAAATTGGAAAGGTATACACGAGTGGAGTGAGACAGTTGAACAGAGGACCGATTCATCAGCTGAAGATGAGAACAAGAAAAATGGGACTCGGGTAACGTCAGATTTAGAGAAATTGCAATTTCTAGGTGTACTTGGACATATTGTTGTGTGACCTCTAAATTTAGGTATATTTGTCTGATCAACCATCCCTACTAATTGAATCACCTCATTCGGATTAATAGACCGATGAATGTTCACTTTTGTTTGTATTACACTTACTTCACCTTGTACAATTTGGAAGACGAGAAGAATCATGCATGCAGGCATAGGAAAAAGATATATTGTTACTAATTTGTATCTGTTTTTTTGTTAATTTGTATGTCGTCAAGATTTATAATGAGACAATTAGACTTGATAATTTAATTTTTGATTAATTAGTTTTGTTAAATGATGTAAACATACAAATGAAAATGAAACTATAATTATTTATTCAATAAATTTATATTTTTTGCAGTGTATGAGATTTTAGAAAAATCTAATAATACATTTTTTTAGACAGTATAAACTTAACCTTTAAATATTAAATAATTAAAGGAACAACACCACATTGATTTCTCAACTACAGAATGTCAAAAAATGCATCTATTGATGCTATAACAATTTTGAAGTATATTATTAACCTTTTGCGCACTGTCATGAATTAAACGGTGATAGTGTATATACTATCAGTATATATAGGATTTACTCTTCTACTTTTCTATCAAATTGTTTTGATAAATGTTAGTAGGCAAGATATAGCGCTAGTGTAAATCTCATGCATCTCATAACATTTCTTAGCTCTTTCAAGACTTAAAGAAAATAATAAAAGGAGAAAAATGAAATTTTGTGGGCATACAATTTTGGATTAGAAACAATCACTCCATGCTTATGATCAAGTGAATTTCACAAGAATTTGTAACTTGGCTCATGTGTTTTTTTTTTTTTTTCCGAAAATGCATATTTAAGTCGTGAAAGCTCCAAAATAAAAAATCCATTGAATGTGATTCAATAATAATGGGTTGTGGAATTATCAATAGTACAAGTTATAGACAAAATCCGTTTATCAAATACTCAAATCAAAGTAGGTGTAATGTAATTTAGTTACTTTATTAATCATTAATTATATGAACCTCCCTTAGTCGAGGAGACTAAAGTCCACTTTGGTATATTTTTTTAAAGTCTAGAGACAATTTAAAGTACTATTTCATATTTCGAAGTAGAAAAAATGATTTAATCTCTTCTAATGAATTAGGTGGTACAAGAAGAGGAAAATGTAAGTGAGAGATATCGAATTCAAGATTCCACTTATACTAAAAATAAAATAAATTAACTAGAAGTTAAGTTGGAGTATTTAAATAAATTATGTCATTAGTTACAACTTATCATATTTCTACCCATAACACATGCACAAGTTAACCACTAACACTACACGAGATATGAGTTAAATATTGAGGCAAACCATATAAAGCTTTGGGAGGCAAAACACAATTTTAATTCCTCAATTTCACCATAACTTCATTTCATTACATTCATATATATATATACAGATATATTTGACGGTTGGCATCCGACTCAAGAAACCAATCAACAAAATAATATGATTTATAACCTAAAGTACTAGTGTTTTGAATCAACACATTGCAGCCCGAAATCATCCAATCAAAATTATTTCCTTAACAATTAATCAATATTTAAATTAATTAGAAGTCAAATTCAATTTGACAACTTATGGCAACTTCACCCAATCACATTACACATTTAAATAAATAAAGTTGCAATCAACATCAACCAAGCAAAAATGATTGCCTTCAAACTTGGTTTTGAACTTGAACGTGAATCCTATGGCTAATTCTAACATCAACCAAGCAACATACATTATGCTGGTTTGTTTTTCTCCAAAAAATAAAAGAATTATCATATCGATTCATCTAAACTTGAACGTGAATCTTATGGCTAATCCAGGTTCTAATTTGGCAACAAGAAAAAAGATTGGGGGAAAATTAAAAACGATCTTATAACTCGAGAACTAGAAATGTTAATGTTTGTCATTTGGCACTTAGCAGTAGTTCCCTTGGAACTGTCAACTCTGTGCACCGTTTGTGCCTCCGTGGACTGGTGGAGTAAAAGTCAGCCGACACGGGGAAGCTTTTGCTGACGTGGTAAATGGTTGCCGAAAGCGGAAACCTTTTCACGAGAACCACCAATCATGTAACGCCACATGGATACAGAAAATGCTACGTGTCAGTACGATGTCTGAGGCTGCACGTGTGGAGGAGGGATCTAAACCATGCACTTTTGCAGAATCTTTTTCTGGAAAAAAAATTTTATTTATTAAATACATCTGTTTTGTCGGTGGAACCAAGGGTAGGGAATGGATTTGGCCACATTTCAATTTAAAAATGTAGTTAATTTGTAACTTTTATAAAATACCTTTATTTAATGTAATTTGTTATTAGTGAGTATGATCTACTTTATTCGATAATTGTTTTGATTCACGTTTTGAATAATAAAACTTTTCATGATATTGGTTTATAATTAATAGGGATAATTGCAGAAACCTCCCCTGAGGTTTCTAAGATTTGCACTGACCTCCCTTGTGGTTTGAAAAATTACACTAACCTCCCTTGAGGTTACTAATCCTTTACAAATTCAGTCCAAACGATTAAAATATTATTTTAGAGAGTGAAATTAGAATTTTTTACCAAATTTGTCCTTTGTACCACATGTCCAATGAATAACAAAGTACTATAAATCAATTAACAATTAATAAACTTTAAGGAGTATAATTTATGGGCAAACACGCATTACTCATTTAAAGTATGTTGGCCTAATCAGCAACATCCTTCAGATCTCGGATCAAAAAGACTAACCGCCCAACCCGTGGCACTCAGGGGTCCAGCCCCTCATGCTGGTCGAGCGTGGTACGATGCTTTGTGCTGCCATTGTGGTTAAAGAAATAAAATTGTGTCTTTGCTAATAGCTATAGCTTTTGGTGCAATGCTAAGTGCTTGATTCTGACAAAGTACCGGTTCTTTACGGGTATTTTACTTTCAAATATTTAATTTATGATCAATATATCAATATTTGTGAGTAAAATTCAAAAATTGTTATAGTAATATTCTTGCAAAAAGAAAATCGATAGGTTATTTATTTAATATAAATTAAATATTTTTTTAAAAAATAAATGGCCCATAAAGTATTAATTTTTTATGTTTTTCATCCATTACACGATTAAAGTATTCGCTCTTTATGTGCATTTTATTTTGAATCATTTAATTTATGTTAAATACATAAATGTTTGTAACTAAAATTGAAAAAGTGTTATATTAATATTTTTACGGAAGAGAGATTGGTAGGTTTTGTATTTAACAAAAATTAAATATTTGAAAGTAAATACAAATCTGTATTTGAGCGTAAATATTTGTATTAAATTAAATGTTTGAAAGTAAAATACCCTTAAAGAACCAGTACTTTAAATAGTTATCGCCTCTTTATAGGCAAACACGCATTACTCATTTAAAGTACCGATTTTTTACGAGTATTTTACTTTCAAACATTTAATTTTTGATAAATATATCAATGTTTGTAAGTAAAATTCAAAAAGTGTTACAGTAATATTCTTGCAAAAAGGAAATCGGTAGGTTATTTATTTAATATAAATTAAATATTTTTTTAAAAAAAGAAATGGCCCATAAAGTATTAATTCTTTATGACTTTCATCCATTACATGAATAAAGTATTGGCTCTTTATGGGTATTTTATTTTGAATCATTTAATTTATATTAAATACATAAATGTTTATAACTAAAATTGAAAAAGTGTTATATTAATATTTTTACGGAAGAGAGATTGATAGTTTTTGTATTTAATAAAAATTAAATATTTGAAAGTAAATACCGCGTAAATATTTGTATTAAATTAAATGTTTGAAAGTAAAATACCCATAAAGAGCCGGTACTTTAAATAGGTAATGTGTATTTGCCTATAAATTATACTCCTTAAAGTTTATTAATTGTTAATTGATTTGTAATATTTTGTCATTCATTGGATATGTAGTACAAAGGACAAATTTGGTAAAAAATTCTAATTTCACTCCCTAAAACAATATTTTAATCGTTTGGACTAAATTTGTAAAGGATTAGTAACCTCAGGGGAGGTTAGTGTAATTTTTCAAACCACAGGAGAGGTCAGTGCAAATGTCAGAAACCTCAGGGGAGGTTTCTGCAATTATCCCTAATTAATATAAATGTATAGTGATTAGTGGTACTCCTAATATTAATGTAAGGGTATTTTAGAAAAACAGATGGCTATATTTACTATTCTAACAAAGTTAACTAGTTTTTTTTAACTGCGTGAAACAAAAATCAAGACAATCAAAATGGGATGAAGGGGGTATTATTTTTTGGCTCGTAAGTTTACATATCGTTGCAAAAATACAATGGATGTTATATGTTATAGAATCTAATCTAGACACCTAAATTACACTTAAATTATTATGTAATTGGATGCTCGTTGAGACACCTAAATCACACTTAAGTCACTATGTAAATAATACATACACTCACATTTGTTATATCCCTAAATTGTGATTTTTTTCAAATTAACTAATTTTCCAGAAAACTGACACTTGAAAACCCTCTTAATGAGTGCCTAATGATATTGAATGCTTATTAGTAAAGAGTATGTTATATGACAAAAAAAAATGTAGAGCTAAATTTGTAGATGAAAAGATAATTATAAATATTCCTTGAATGAGGGAAATATTAAGTTGGATATTAAAGTTATATCTGAAAGATGAATCAAACTAAAAAGAACTACTTGATACTCGAATCAAACTCAACTTGGTAAGATTTTGGTTCACCAACTAGTCAAACCAAGATTGAAAAGCATTTTATGTTTAATAACATTCAAATTTGATAAAAAGTTCGTTCAAA